GGGTTCAAGACCCGCCTGGGCAACTTGGCGAGACCTCATCTCTACAATAAATCAAAAATTAGCCTGGTGTGGTAGCGCACGCCTGTAGTTCCAGCTACTTGGAAGGCTGAGGCGGAAGGATCGCTGGAGTCCAGCAGGTCGAGGCTGCGGTGGCCGGGAGCAGCCACTGCACTCCAGTCTGGGTGACAGAGTGAGACTCCAACTCAAAAAAAAAAAAAAGAGTAATGTATCTAAGTGGGAGAGAACTCTAATAGTGAAAAAATATACCCATTAATTTGAGTACATTTAATATTTTATAGCTATACAACCAACTTGAAGAGTAATTTATATCAAGAACAATTAATGCCACAATAATAAAAATTGCACATAATGAGAGAAGGTCTTTTAAATGTGTGTGAAAAAAGATAGAAATTTTTGGAAGATTATTTAAGAAATGACAAAGTTCTCCACAACATATTTACCAAGTATTAAATGGCTTCAAATGTAGGCTTTGCTTACATTTTTTTTTTTTTTTGAGTTGGAGTCTCACTCCATCGCCCAGGCTGGAGTGCAGTGGCACACTCATGGCTACCCCATTGTCGATCTGCTGGGCTCTGGCGATCCTTCCGCCTCAGCCTTCCAAGTAGCCGGAACTACAGATGCACCCTATCACGCCCAGCTAATTTTTTATTTTAGAGAGGAGATCTTACCAAGTTGCCCGGGTTGGTCTCGAACCCGCGGGCTCAGGCAATCCACTTGCCTCAGCCTCCAAGAGTGCTGGGATTACAGGTTGAGCCACTGAGCCCAACCTGCTTAAAATATTTAAAGCATTAAAACTAGAGGGGAGTAAAGTGAGGTGAGGGAGGAAAAGACAAGAGTGGTCCTAGCATCTGTCCTTACTGAGTGCTGGACTCTTGGGGATGAAAAGGACTCTTCAAGTGCTGACTGGCTCTTGGGTGAGTTGGCAGATAGCAGTTCTGGCTCACATTTGAAAGTGTGATTGCAAGTGTATAAATCCCATGAAAGAGCAAGAAAATCTGTTTTCAAAATAAAAATATGTACACTATAAACTGTTTACAAACAAAACCTTTGTAGCTGATGACAAGCCGTAGTCATCCTTGTCATATGTGCAGTTGGGATTCTCAAAATACAATCTGAAAGGCAGGGTATTCTTTAGTTTTCTAGATGGACCAAGCTTATATACCACGTGTTGGTAAAGTTGTTTTGTAAACTGTAGTTTATTTAGTAAAATATATCCATGGGTGTCGTAGGTGTTGGGAGATGCCTGTAATTATAAGTGAGTTTGTGTAGTGTATCCTAGACCTTCTAGGACACAGGGAAAGCATGATCATGCAGTTTTATTAAAAGGTAGTAGACTCTGGGCAGTAGTTGTATCAGCAACTTTTTTCTTCCCTGGAATTTTCCAAACATTCTGCATTTCCTTATGACATTGGTATCTAGAAAAGTGAAATTTAAAAGAACCTGCAAGTGTCATGCCACGTGTTCCAGCTCTCTGCTCTGATCTCCTGTGGGCAGGCCAGAAGCGAGTGCCCAGAAGAGGAGAGCAGCAAGGATGGAGTGACAGCCGGGGGCCAGAGACGACACTTGAGAGAGCTGAGCGGAGACCCTACAGGGAATATCGGCCCTATGAGACTGAGAGGCAGGCGGACTACACAGCGGAGCGGTCCCCAGACGAGAAGTAAGTGTGGCAGTCCTCAGCCAGGAGGTGGGGGACCAGAGGGTTTCGGAGAACTGCTAGCCTTTGTGACCTTTCACGGGCTATTCCTAGGAAGGGCTGGCCAATCAAAGTAGCGACTCATATTACCTAGGGTGACACATGAATGATCTTTTACTTATCTCACAGATGGCCTTATGTCTTGGTTCAGAAGATGATTGCACAACTGAAAGTGGATTGTTTATTGGTAGCTATGAAAAGCACGCTTGTAAAAAAATTATGCAGGAGTATGTTGTTGAACTGATTAAGTTTTCTTCTTTTTTTTTATTTTTTATTTTATTTTTGAGTTGAGTCTTACTCTTTCACCCAGGCTGGAGTGCCATGGTGCGATCATGGCTCACCACAGCCTTGACTTCCTGGGTTCAAGCAATTCTCCTGCCTCAGCCTCCCAAGTAGCTGGGACTATAGGTGTGCACCACCATGCCTGGCTGATTTTTTGTACAGATGAGATCTCGCTATCTTTTCCAGGCTAGTCTTGAATTTCTGGGCTCAAGTGATCCTCTTCTCTCAGCTTTCCGAAGTGCTGGGATTACAGGTATGAGCCACTGCACCTGGCCAGCTACATTATTTTTTGAAGTTCTAGACTAGGGATACAATTTTGGGGTAGGGATATCATTGTGGTTTTGATTTAGCAGTACTAATTTAATTTGGACTACTACACGGATTTAACGGATTACCAGTTCCCTGGTAAAGTCAATGGCTATCATGATGAAATCTGAAGAAAAATCTGATGTGATGTGTAATACCAGAGTGTTCTTGAAAGCACTCTGACATGGAGGGCAGTCTCAGGCTGCCTGACTCCTGAGTGGTGAACAGCATGCAGGCTGCTGTGCCCACCTGAACACAAGTGGCAGCTGTTTGTGTCCTGCGCTTGGAGCTAGCAAGATGGGTGCCTGCTGCCTAAAACTTTTGTTTAATCATTAAGCCTACATAGCACAGAGTTTAAGTTAAACAGAAACAACTAATGAATTACATTTCAAAGAAAATAAAGTTTGAAAAAAGGCTAAAGAAGACTAGAATAGTGTACAGTTAAATGTCAAGGGAGCCGTTATTCCCAAAGTCTTTCAGCTTCTTGACTGCTTATTCCACTTAGGAGCCTGGTTATGAGTTTTAACCAAAGAACACGGCTTTGTAAAACTATGCTCTAAAGTCTATTAAAAACAAACCAAAAAAGAAAAAAAAAAGGTCCCCCAGAGAGTACCTCAGCCTGAGAGGTGGGCTGACTAAGCAGGTGATGATTTCTGCTGACTTACCTGGAAGTTACGCATCCAAAACATCAAAATGGTGTATCTGCCCCTGTGCTGGAGGGACAGAGCTATAGAAAGGCTTAATTTTGCTTTTTCGCATATGATTACTTCCAATTTACTGTGTAGCAACCATAGTTTACTTGCTTCTGCAAAGCTTCTTGGATGAGAGCTGCTTATTTTTGGAAGCGTTTAGGTATTTTCCCCCTCACTTCAGAGATTCATTCTGTGGAAATAAGGAAAATAGAGTTCACATGCACAAACCCACGTTGCGACCTTTTTTTTTAGTAGCAAAATGATGTCATTTTTAAAAGGAAAAAGTAGGTCTGTGTATGTGAAATGCAAAGATGCCTATTAAGTGAAATAATGCCCATGTGTAGGGGGAGGGTGGGACATGGGATTATGGAGGAATCGTGTTTCCTTTTAAAAACAGTGGCTCGGTGGAGTGGACTCCACTCACTCCCATGATCCCAGCACTTTGGGAGGCCAGTATGGGAAGATTGCTTGAGACCAGGAGTTTGAGACCAATCTAGGCAACTTAGTGAGATCTATCGCTACAAAGAAAAAAAATTGAAATAATTTCAGGATTGCAGAAAAGTTGTAAGAATTATACAAAAAACTTCTATATGCCCTTTTCCTGATTCCCTGCATGTTGACTTTTTATCCTATTTGCTTTGTCATTCCCTGCCTCCGTACGCAATCTTTTTTTTTTCTTGTCATTTGAGAATAAGGTATAGGAATGTCCCTTTTATCCTTAAATACTTTAAATGCATTCTCCCAAAAACATGATGCAGTTACCAAACTCATTAACATTGATGCAATACTGTTATCTAATTCTCGAAATTATGTAATTTACAGACTACTCCAGTTTCACCAGTTAACCTAATGCTAATGCCCTTTCAGCAGAAGAGAAAACATCGGTTCAGTATCCAATCCAGGAAAGTGCATTGTGTTCAGTCTCTCTCATTTGGAACAGTTCCCCGTAGTCTTCCTTTGTCTTTATGAATTTGACAGTTTTGAAGAGTGTGAGCCACTTACTTTGTAGTACATCCCAGATTTTGATTTTTTTTTTTTGATGTTTCCTTATGGAATAAGGTTATGCACTTTTGGCAGGGACACATAGAAGTAATATGTTCTTGGTGCATCACATTAGATATTTGTAGGGTTATTTTTACTTTCAAGGAAATGTGAATTTTTAACAAGTCATGTGATATCAAAAGATATTTTTCTAGTGTCTTTAAAAATGCTCTTCTGATAATAAAGTCTCTTTAAATCTTTTTTTTTGAGTCGAAATCTCACTCTGTTGCCCAGGCTGGAGTTCAGTGGCATGCTCACGGCCACTGCAGCCTCAACCTCCTGGGCTCAGGCGATCCTTCCACCTCAGCCTTCCAATCAGCTGGAACTACAGGCGCACACCACCACACCCAGCTAGTTTTTTAAAATTTATTATAGAGACAAAATCTTAACAAGTTGCCCAGGCTGGTCTTAAACCCCGAGCTCAGACAATTCTCTCACCTTGGCCTCCCAAAGTGCTAGGAAAACAGGCTTGAGCCACCGCACTTGGCCTCATTAAATCTTTAACAAAAATAATTTATAGTCACTTTAGACAATTTGGACAAAGCATACAATTATAAAGAAAATTAAAACCACCTCTCTTACCATCTGAGATGATTCCTCTGAACATCGGTCCATTTCTTCCCTTCCTTTTTATGCATTGGTAATGCTAAGGTGATGATGCACTGACACTGGCTACTTCATGTTCTGTCTTTTGCAGTGGGCATGCGGAAGGCTTCTCCATGTCACTAACCATGTTTGGTGGCATTTTTAGTGACTGTTTTGAGCTTTTGTTTGGCTGTATCATCATGTGATCATCTCCTTCATGTTGGGCCTTTGCTCGGCTTCTCGTTTTTTTGCTTTATAAATAATACCAATGAGCAGCTTTTTGTGCCTGTAGGGTGTTTCCTTGCTGGAGTCCTAGAAGTCCATCCCCGTTAGGGTCATAAAGCAGCGACTCTCAGGTGAGTGATATGTGTCCAAATCGCAACCCATCTTGTGCCTCAGGGCAAGGTGATGGGTGCATATGGTGTGGAAACACACAAAAATGAGAGGGGCGGGGAACTGTTGATACATAGTGACAAATCACTGTCCTAGGAACCTAGCAATTTGCTGTGTCTCTGAAGCTGTCACAGATTATTTTTGCTTTTTGTTTTTTTTGTTGAGTTGGAGTCTTACTCTGTCGCCCAGACTGGAGTGCAGTGGCTGCTCCCGGCCACCGCAGGCTCGACCTGCTGGGCTCCGGCGATCCTTCCGCCTCAGCCTTCCAAGTAGCTGGAACTACAGGCACGCGCTACCACACCCGGCTAATTTTTGATTTATTGTAGAGACAAGGTCTCGCCAAGTTGCCTGGGCGGGTCTGGAACCCATGGGCTCAGGCAATCCACTCACCTCGGCCTCCCAAAGGCGCGGGATTACAGGCTGAGCCACTGAGCCTGGCTTGATTATTCGTGAGAAAGCAAACTTCTCATAGTACTTTCTTAAAACTTGAGTATAATAAAGTTTGAGCTTTGTTCATTCAGTAGTGAAAATAGGTATCACCTGGAATTTCTTTGCTGCTTATACATGTTTATTGGACAGAATTGCAAGAGCCCAAGTTTCACTCTGTTGCCCGGTTGGAGGGCATTGGCACTGTCATGGCTCATGGCAGGCTTGACCTCCTGGTAGCTAGGACTATAGGCGTGCACCGCCACCTCTGGCTGGTTTCTTTGATTTTTTTTTTGCAGAGACAAGGTCTTGCTGTATTGCCTGGGCTGGTCTCGAACTCCTACACTCAAGTCATCCTTCTGCCTTGGCCTCCCCAAGTGCTGGGATTATAGGCCTGTGCCACCATGCCTGACCAAACTATAGAATCCTGATAACCTTGAAGGATGATCTAAATTCAACTCTTTCCATTTAAAACGAAGAAACAGAGATCCAGATTTCAACAATGTGTACAGCACTCTGGACACTGTCAGCTGTTGTGGATTTTTGTTTCACTTGGGCAGAGCACATGTTTTCTTGTAGAGGCAATGTCAAAATGGTGCTGGGTTTAATTCTCATTGTATGTCTGTTCCAGATCCGCTGCATTATGTGGGTACATATTCTGGGAATAAGCTACTGTTTCTAATGCAGTAGGAATTCTCCCAAATGAGGTTAATTGAACTCTTAGAACATACACGATTAGAAAATGAGTCTTCCTCTGTCTGGATACATTTTGGCTCTTCCTTTCTGTAGTCTACTGCTGGTCACTTAAGTCAATTCCAATTCTGAAAAATTCACTCAAATATTTACCCTACCCCCCCAAAAAACTTTTTTCCAAAAATTGTGGTAAAATGTACAGACCATAAATTTACCATTTTAACCATTTTTAAATGCAGAGGTCTGTGATATTGGGTACATACACATTGTTGTATAACCATCACCACTATCTATCCACACTTTTTTTCTTTCCAAACGGGAACTCTGTGCCCATGAAACACAAACTTCCCCTTTATACCTCTGTGAGTGTCACACTCTACCTGTGAGGAAAGTACACACATCTACTTATCAAGAACGTTGTAAGAGAGTTAATACAAGTGTGTAAGCAGGGTGCTTGGCTCAGATATCATTTTCCTTCCTTTTGCTTGTGAGTTGATAACAAATAAAACTTCCTAGTTGAGTACAGGATTCTTCGATCCTCACCAACCTTTTAAAAACAGAAAGCATAGTTTAAAGAAGCCATTGGGAGCTCATTTTATTGGGAGGTGGAAAGAAACCTATATAGTAAAAGAAAAATTAGTTTAAGGGATTAAGATATACCAGAACACTCAGGGCCATCTTTGGGGTGGGTTTCAACTACTGTTGTGTTTTTAAAGAATTTGGGGTTTTGTTAGTATCTGACTTCTGCAAGTTTAGACCTGGATGCCTGTGACATTATTTTCCATGTGTGTTTTTGTTCATCCTTTCCTCTTAGTTTTTTTTTTTGAGTTGGAGTCTCACTCTGTCACCCAGACTGGAGTACAGTGGCATCTTCCCGGCCACCGCAGCCTTGACCTGCTGGGCTCCAGCGATCCTTCCGCCTCAACCTTCCAAGTAGCTGGGACTACAGGTGCGCACTAACACACCTGGCTAATTTTTTGATTTATTGTAGAGATGAGGTCTCACCAGGTTGCCCGGGCGGGTCTCAAACCCACGGACTCAGGCAATCCACACACCTCAGCCACCCAAAGTGCTGGGATTACAGGCTGAGCCACCGAGCCCGGCTCCTCTTAGTTTTTAGGTATACTTTTTTTTTTTTTTTTTTTGAGTTGGAGTCTCACTCTGTCGCCCAGACTGGAGTGCAGTGGCCGCTCTCGGACACCGCAGCCTC